GCCACAACGCCTGGCCATTTTTTGGTTGCAGCCATCATTGTTGTTTGCCGGGTGGGGCTGGGGATTAGAACCCGCCACCTTAGGTGTATATGGCTGGCGCCTTAGCCGCTTGAGCCATGACAGCTACTTCTAAGAGATGTTTATATGTACTTTCTCTAATGTAATCCTTTATTAATTTTGTGAGGTATTCACTTTCAGTGGGAAGCCCACTCATCTCACTGGAGTAGGATTCTAATTGGGAAGGTGACTTTTGGTATGCAGAGTAGATTCTGGAGCAGATACTGTAACTGTGATTAAATGAAGTCATCAGTTACAGTGGTCACATCCCTACTTCTACAGTCCCTTAACCCCCACTTCAGCTCTTGCCATGTATTCTGGAACTCTTTCTGCAGAGGAGGACAAATCTGGCTTTCTGTAAAATTCTGGTGCCAGTTCAACTTATATATCCTAAGAAACACTTAAATAGTGAGGAAGTATTTTAAGGACAAAGAAAGAGTAGGTTATTCAAAGTTTATACAGAAACCAAGTAAGAAGGCAGAAAGATAGAATGAAAGAGAAAGCAAATCTTGTTTCCTAAACCGCACTTCCAACTACGATTTCGAATGGGTCTAAGAACCCTAACTGTCGGGCAACGTGGTCCTCCTGCTCACTCTGATTTCCAGCCAATGAATAAAACAGCTGACATAAAACTCCAGGGAAATCATGACTCATGCAAAACAAAAGACAAAGGGTGTACAAGGATCATAATTCAAATGGGAAGCCTGCTTGATGGTCCCAGCTCAGCACAAGGTTTTCCACTTCTTGACATCAGTCAGCAGGATGCAGGCTGTAGGCAAAGCAGTATAGCCAAGAGGTGTGAAAAAAACACTTCAGTTAAAACTTATTCCTTGATCCTCAAGGAGTTTACAACAGCGCTGGAGAGATTAGCCGTGTAACTAGCACTCAAGGGCGGTCAATGAAACGTGACAAACGAGTTGGCAGGGGCCTTGAAGAAGGAGGGATTCACAGTTAAGGATCATTTGGAGAGGGGGTAGGGTGGAGGTGGGGCTTGTTAAGGCTTAAGAGGTTGGGTGTAAGGTAGGTGGGACGTGTAGGTGGGAAATCGAGGCGTTCCTGGGGCAGGACTCAGGCAGAGAAGCTCTGGGTCGCGCGCGGGGGGGACCGGCCTCACCCCTCACCCACGGCGCGTGCGCTGCCCGACGCTCGCGCCAGGCGCGCCGCCCGCGGGAAGCTGGCCAGAGCCTGGAACACGAGACCCCGCGTGCTAAGGCGGGAAAAAACTTGCGCATGCGCAGTTCGGCGCTCCGGGCTCGCCAGGATGGGGAAGAGAAGGGGGAGTTTCCAAGAGGGAACTTGACCCGTTAGGAGCCGCGGCCATGACGGCGCGCTCTTCGCCTTCACAGTTCCCTCTGCCCTCAGGGCGACAGTCAGGCCCCAGGTCCCCACGTGTTGGGCGGGGACCTGAGGTACATGCAGTGCGCAGCGAGGCCTCGGGTCTTGCCGGCGCAGCGCGAGAGCCAGTCCTGGACAAGAGTGATATATCCTGGCGGGGCGAAGAAGGGTCAGGGGGCCGGCGAGGGCCAGGGCGGGTAGTTCTGGTTCATGCTCCCGTCCTCAGCGCGCCCTCGGGGTCTCGGCGGCTAGAGGAGCTCTCGGTAGAGGAGGCGATGGTGACCCGGACGGAGCTGCTGGAGAAAGAGCTGAGCAGCCTAAAGGAGGAGCTGGCCCTGTGTCAGGTATCGAGGACTTTCGCCGCCGGCCTTTCCCTTCCACAGCGGGCCGGGATCCATGGGGAGGCGCGCCCTTCTCCCTCTGCCTTGGATTGCTTCTCTCCTCGGGTTTGGGACCGACCCTGCCCCGCCCGGCGACTCTCCCCGCCTGCTCCACACCCAGTTCGGCCGGCTGCCTGGCTGGAGGGAGGCCCGGCTCCCCAGCCCCGTCCCTCTACCCTTTTCCGGACACCCGCCGGACGGGTTCGTCTCCGCGCCCGGGTTTGCTTTTGGTCACTTGGAAACACGCAGTTGCACGCCCCTCCCTTTTGCCCAAGTTCTCAGAGGTGGCTGTACTTGGTACCTGGTACCCACACGTGGAGTGCAGTCCATAAAAGTTGAAATGAACAGGAAAGTGAAAACATTTTTGGTCAAGTCCATCACCTAAGGAGGAACTTGTTTTTAATTTTCAAACCCACCCTTGCCCCCCCCCCCCGTTTTTTTTTTTACAAAGTTAAACTTAAGTTGTGAACACAGACAATTTTTAGGGAGGATGGGAGTTGGGAATTTACACACAATAGATAATGCTTTTTACTTATTAACCAAGTATAGTAATTCCATAGACTTTGAGTGAGAAATATCATTTTCGTGTAATCTTGCCGGTGAAAAGCATTTACTAAGTCAGTTGTATTAGTAAGTACTTTCCTATTATTTGTAGGTTTGTTAAGATAAACATGACTGTACTCATGTTAATAGAGACTTTACTTTAGTTTTTGAATCTTTACCACTTTCTCTTCTCTGATTTTAACCTGAACCTTTAGACAGGGTTGTGAGAGTAAATGTTAGAATGCACTCAACAGTACATCCTAAAGTCAGTGTCTTAAAGGTAGAAGCCAGTTTAGGCACTGCTGAACACCCTGGTAACTTTGTGAACGATTGAAAACCATTCATGATACTCCTCATAGTTTCTTCTATTGGATTCTTTTGCCCCTTTTATAGGTCCTTGTTGACTGAGTCAAGGCTGTAAAAACAGGACTGTCTTGTTCAAATTTAATATGCCTTTGGTTAAACAAGTTCAGGACATTTTATGTGGCTGCCCTCTTTTTATTTTTGCATTTTCTGTTGTGTGGTTAAGGAGCAAAGGAATAAATAAAAGACACCATTGAACTAAAGCATTTTGTCCTCTGTAGCTCTTACCCTTGGGGAGTTTCAAAATATGAACCCACGATGAATGCCTTTGTTACTTTAAGTCCTAATCTAAGACATTGCCCATATTTTTACACTCTATGCCATCACTCCTTCTCATAGTTTGCCTTTGGCTGGTTAAGGAGATAAGATACATACTCTTTAAGATTGACTTGATGAAGGAAGTGAATCTTTTGGAAACAGAATGAAGAGCCCCCTCTCCCACATTCATTCACTGTTAACATTCTTTTAACTGTATGACTCCAAACATGGTGTTGGCTTTTGTGACCTTGGATACATGTAGACTAGGAAGATGGTTGATACTCTTGGCCTGTGTAAAAATACAGAAATGGTCATAATAGCCTAGATGATTAAGATTTTGCAACACTAATACCATTAAATGATCATAGGCCTTCCAGAAACGTGAGATGAGGTTGGCAGTATCCTACACCATCAAACTTCAGTCAAACTAGACTCTTGTTCTTGGGAAAACTTGGGAAAAATAGTAATTGAAATCCCCATTGTTACTTAGAAAATCATTTAAGTAATAAAAACTCACCTTTACATCTTTATAAATTAATTCTTCTGCTTATTTATTCATCTAGGAATCACAGTTCTCCTAGTATTAAAACTGTGCTAAAAATTGTAACCCAAAACAAAATTCATTTTATATCCCAGTCTAGTAAGTACACACACATAATTTAATGAAACATTAATGACATTCCCTTTTTCTCCATTTGTTGCATTAGATTCATTTGCCCTATTTATAGGTCTTTGCTGACTGAGTCAAGGCTGTAAAAGCAGGACTCGTTCAAATTTAATATGCATTTGGTTATACAAATTTGGGACATTTTATGTGGATGCCCTCTTCATTCATGTGTTCATTACCAAGTTTAATGATGAAATTAACTTTTCTCATTTTCTGTTCTTCACTGGTTAAGTTCTAAAAGGGTATATAAAAGACACTAGTGATGCTTGGTGCCTGTAGTACAGTGGTTATGGCGCCGGGCACACACACCAAGGCTGGCAGGTTCGAACCCAGCCCAGACCAGCTGAACAACAATGGCAACTGCAACCAAAATATAGCTGGGTGTTGTGGTGGGCACCTGTAGTCCCAGCTACTTGGGAGGCTGAGGCAAGAGAATTGCTAAGCCCAAGAATTTGAGGTTGCTGTGAGCTGTGAAGTCGTGGCATTCTACCAAGGCTGACATAGCGAGACTCTGCCTCAAAAATAAAAACAAAAAAACACTAGTGAACTAAAGCATTTTGTTCAGAGCATATAATTTCAGAAAGTATTTGCCCTAATAGTGTGTTATGAACTGATATTTTATTTGCAATTCTATTTAAAAAAATTCGCTTCAGAAGAATTGGCCAGTAGTGGGTCAAACAGATAGTTAGGGGAGAAGAACCCTGCTGATTAGTACATAGTTAAAAGTATGGTAGTAGCTTCATGTTAGTTTTGTTTCACTCTCTTAAAGCAGAGTTTGAAGGGTCCCGTGTAGCATTCTCCTCCATTGGAATGCTTCAGAACAAGCATTTAATAGAAAATAATTCAGTGTTTCTCTTAATATGTGGGCATTACATTCCACTTTATGTGATTCTATTATCTAGTTAAACTTTGAGAAATTAAGGCTGCCAGATTAGCAAGCAAGCTATGCATAATGCTTACCTGAAGAAAAAGTGATTCATTTCAACATGGGGAGAACAGCTGTCAGTATTGGACTTACTGAGGAGAGCAAGTTAACTTCAAAATGTAGTTGTTACCAAGGAATTTTCAGAGGTATTCCAAAGGGTAATTTTGCGTCCATGACATTTATGCCTTATTTCATTGATTTGGAACCTAATTTCATCTTTAATTTTCATGGTGTATTTTAAGAATATGTCACTCCTGACAAAGGATGCTGAGTATTTGTATGTGCATATTTATTAGAATACCAGATGATAAAAAGTAATGTTATATTTATATAGTGTTATCAAGCTTATTTTTAAAATATTAGTCAAAACTATTTATTCAATCTACAAGCCAATCTCAGGTAAAAAATAATTTAGGGCTTTTAAATAAATGTGTTCATTACCAACTTTAATGATGAAACTAACTTTGAATCATGTGGTATTTGAGAGTGTATGACCAAAGAACTTAGACAGTTACGTGTTAAAAATTTAAATGTATTAAAATTTAAATGTATTGGGCAGTGCCTGTGGCTCAAAGGAGTAGGGCACCAGCCCCATATGCCAGAGGTGGTGGGTTCAAACTCAGGCCTGGCCAAAAACTGCAAAAAAAAAAAAAAAAAAAAAAAAAAATTAAGTGTATTGAAACCTCCTCCATTCATGAAGAAGATTGTGAGAATGTACTATATAATTAATACTTCCTCTTGTTAGAAGGTATATTCTAATTGGTGAATCTTTTTGCACAATTTTTTGTTACTAATTTACTGAGTGACTACTTTGTGCCATACTTTGTAAGTAAAATCTTTCCATGGTTTTCCTTGAGTTTGGATGAGCAAATTATTTATTTAAATGTAGGAAATAGTTTTCAGATGTTTGTTGATTTCATTATTCCAGTAGATGCTAATTGAGGACCTAATATATAACTTAAACACTAAATTAGGTATTTGGAGAGTGTAATACCCCTAGACCTGAAAATACAGAGTCGGACCCCCCTTAAGTGCAATCAATCAGAAATTTATTGAATCTACACTGGAGACTGTCTTGAGAGACAGTTCTGTCCCTGTAGTGGGCAAGTTGCCTTACATATTCTTGTGCAAGCATACTACAGAAGTGAAATGTGGCTGGTTAGGGGAGAGTGCTACAGCTTGGGTAGTCATGGATACAGTAGTAGTTACAGTAATGCAACAATGATTAATACAGCCTTGGTTGACAATGGATATATCTCAAATCATAATGGTTATAATTATGTAACCATGATTAATACAGCCTTGGTGAATTTCCACCATTGGGAACTTGGGGGGCTTTTGTGAAACTTGGGACTTTCTGTGCTTTGACTCGGGGGCATGGGAACGGGCTGGGAGAGAGGGCAGAGGACCGGAAGAGGGCAGGGGAACCAGAGGTAGAGGGGGAAGAGGGCAGAGGAATGGGAGAGGGAGGTGGAACTGGCTGGGAGTTCTTACAGCAGAGAGTAGGTACCCAGTGAAAAAAAGGCAATTCTGGATGTCTTTCTTTGTACAGATTTCCATGCTAGCTGATTGTGAAAGACAAAATCAGTCATCTTTCAAGCAGATTTAGACTCAAACCACCTAGAATTTAGTCAACTCTTTCTTTCTTTTTTTTTAATTAAATGATAGCTGTGTATGTTAATGCAATCATGGGGTACAGTGTGGTGTTTTCATATACATTTTGAAATATTTTCATCAAACTGGTTAACATAGCCTTCATGTCATTTTCTTAGTTATTGTGTTAAGACGTTTATATTCTACTTCTAGAAAGATTCACTTGTACCCTTGTAATATAAACCATAGAGGTGTTCCCTGGAATCACCCTCTCTCCACCCACTCCCTTCCCTCCCCTCTCCTCCCCCTCCCCATAGTCTTAGGCTATAATTAGGTTATAGCTTTCATATGAAAGCTATAAATTAGTTTCATAATAGGGCTGTGTACATTGGATACTTTTTCTTCCATTCTTGAAATATTTTGCTAAGAAGAACATTTTCCAGCTCCATCCATGTAAACATGAAGGAGGTAAAGTCTCCATGTTTCTTTATGTCTGCGTAGTATTAACTATTTCTTTAATAAACTGTTATGAGAAGGGATAGGAATTTTTATTTCAATTTTAGATTGATTCTGTTTGGAAGTTCTGTAGTAAGGATAAAGAATTTGATAAAGAAT